GGCTCAGGGATTCGGGGGTGGCGTCTGTCACTGCCAGCTCCCCCAGGTGCGGCTTGACGGGAGGCTTGGGGGCTGTGGTGGGCAGGTCTGTTGGGGCTGGGGTCATTTCTTGGTCTTTTTCTGAGGCTGGATCAAGAGACACAGAGAATGGGTGGACATGCTTTGTGGGTTCCCTCCTAACAGGGGATGGATTTCTCCCAGACACACCAGGGACCCTGCAGCCTGGAAGCCAGTGCTCCAGGATTAAGACATCATTTCCAGGTCTTCCCTGGTTGCACAGTGGTTAAGAATCCGCCTGCCAATGCAGGGGACATGGGTTCGAGCCCTGGTCCGGGAAGATCCCACATGCCACGGAGCAACTAAGCCTGTGCGCCACAACTACTGTGCCTGCGCTCTACACCCCGCAAGCCACAACTACTGAGCCTGCGTGCCACAACTACTGAGCCTGCGTGCCACAACTACTGAAGCCTGCGTGCCTAGAGCCTGTGCTCCTCAACAAGAGAAGCCACCGCAATGAGAAGCCCGCGTACCACAACAAAGAGTAGCCCCCACTCGCCGCCACTAGAGAAAGCCCTCGCACAGCAACGAAGACCCAACGCAGCCAAATAAATAAATAAATACATTTATTAAAAAAAAAAAAGACATCATTTCCCTGGTTTGAATGTTCAGTTTCTAGCAGACAGAGCACACACTTGTGGAGATGTCAAGATGGTAGGGTGGGACCCCCATGACCTCAACATGTGCAGCATGGAACCTGTAGGGGCTGCTGAGTAAATTCATTTAGTGGGACAGGACTAATGCTTTGTAATAGCACCACACCTAACCGACACGTCACATCAGGAGGTACATGTGCTCAGGTTCGTATTTTCCTTTAATACCTCCTCTGGTTTAGAAGTCTTTTCTGAGCATTTGAGAAACTAATTTAGATTTCACAGTTGAGGGCAAAGAGATGAGACCACATGAGATCATCTTTGTAGATGGGTTGCTTTTGGACCTTGTATTAATTCTCTTGCCATCTTACAGCAGGGATGACCCATCACGCCCACAGATTTTTTTTGTCTTTTCTGTTCTGCACAGGGTTTTATTCTGCCTTAATAGCTGAATAACAAAATCATCGTGTTTCATAACTCCATTGTGTTTGGGAACCAGGTTTTAAGCATGTAGAGGGTAACAGCTACAAAAGAGCTTAATGGAAGCAACCAACAGCCATGTTAGGGAGTAATTAATGAAGAGAAAATGCCTTGTTAAGTTGCACATATGACTAATATTAACTATTGAAGTAATAGTATCCATGTTAGCAGGATTCCATGTTGATACAGCATACATGGGTATCAGTTTGGGGGTTGGGGAACAAATACAATTGTACCCACTGAAATCAATGATAATTTTAAGAATTCACCCCAAGGGTTTTCAAGAACTAATCTTCTTCCTCAGAAGGAGGGAGCCTGTAGTTACCAAATATTGTGTGTGAGACAAGCCACATTCATGCCCACCCTGCCAGACAGGTGTGGTTATTCCTTCTGTATGGATAAGGATAGGGAGGCACAGAGAGGTTGAGTGACTCCCTCGAGGTCATACAGCTCTAATGGGCTGAGGCTAGGGCCAGCCCCAGGTCTGCCTGAGTCTGTGCTATTTCTCTGGCACACTGCCTCTTCAAGGACTCAAGAAGCCCACGTGTAAAGGGTGAGACAGCTAAGGTGACACCAAAGGCTTGGAGTGCAGACAGGCACAGAACTGCTGCTCCCAGTAGCCTGGGAGGCTCAGTCTCAAAAACAGTGGGAGAAAAACACCTGAATACTGGCAATAAAAGGGAAACTGAGTCCAGCTCAGGGCAGGGCCAGTGTCCTATTGTACACTCACCAGTTAAACCGACAGTGGAGACAGGGCCCACGCGCTGGCCGCTGTGGAAGCCGTACAGGTTCATCTTGTACTTGTGGTCTGGCTCCAGGCCCGAGATGGTGACCCCGTCCTGGTGCCCTGGCACCCTCACCGCCTTGGGCTGCCCGTCCCCGTTCTTGTACTGGACCAGAAAGTGGTCAAACTGGCCCTCGGGGACGTTCCAGAAGAGGCTCAGGGAGTCATGGGTGGCGTCCGTCACAGTCAGTTCTCCCAGCTGTGGCTTCAAAGGGGGGCTGGCAGGGGGCTCCTCTTTAGGGGCTGGGAAGAGATGCAAACAGAATCGTTCCTGTTGCTGGAAGGAACTGTTGAGGCCCTGCTCTCCTGGATTCAGGCCAGAAGTTGGGCCAGCTCTGTGGGCCTAACTTAAGATGCATTTCTGCTTATGAGCATCAACATCTCTTTGTGGCCTCCTTATGGTCCATCAAATGTGCCAGGCAGCTTATTGCCTCAAGGCCTTTGCACTGACCCCTCTTCCTGAATGTTCTTTCCCTAGATGTCTGCATGGCTCATGTTCACACTTCCTTTCATTCAAATGTCACCATCCCTTTAGGGCCTTCCCTGACCACCCTATTTAAAATCCCAATTCTCCCAATTTCATCCTATCTTTCTTACTTGGACCTGATTCCAACAACAAATTGCAAAATAACAATTATGACACAATCAGGAAACTGTAGCACTATCTGGATATCTGATTTTTAAAGGTACAATCATTGTATCATGGTTATTTCTAAATAGTCTTTTTGAAAAGAGCAGTACACTTAAATATGTAATAACGGGAACTTCCCTGGTGGCGCAGTGGTTGAGAATCCACCTGCCAATGCAGGGGACACAGGTTCGATCCCTGGTCCGGGAAGATTCCACATGCCGCGGAGCAACTAAGCCCGTGACACAACTACTGGGCCCGTGTGCCACAACTACTGAAGCCCACGCGCCTAGGGTCCCTGCTCTGCAACAAGAGAAGCCACCGCAATGAGAAGCCCGTGCAGTACAACGAAGCCCGCTCGCTGCAACTAGAGAAAGCCCACGTGCAGCAGCGAAGACCCAACGCAGCCAAAAAAAAAAAAAAATGTAATGATGAAGTAAAGAGTGTATGGAGTAAGTTTAAAAATATTGCAGCAGTATATCCATACAATGGAATATTATTTGGCTATAAAGGAATGAAGTACTGCTACATGCTACAACATGGATCAACCTCAAAAATGTGCTTGGTGGGCTTCCCTGGTGGCGCAGTGGTTGAGAGTCCGCCTGCCGATGCAGGGGACATGGGGTCGTGCCCCGGTCTGGGAGGATCCCACGTGCCGCGGAGCGGCTGGGCCCGTGAGCCATGGCCGCTGAGCCTGCGCGTCCGGAGCCTGTGCTCCGCAACGGGAGAGGCCACAGCAGTGAGAGGCCCGCGTACTGCAAAAAAACCCCAAAAAACCCCCCAAAAAACAAACCAAAAAAACCGTGCTTGGTAAAAGAAGCCAGACACAAAAGAACACGTGTTGTATGATTCTAGTTATATGATGCGTCCAGAAAAGGCAAATCTACAGAGACAAAAAGTAGATTAGTGGGGACCGGAACTGGGCATGGGAATGAGTCTAGACACCAGGTTTCTTCTTGAGGTAATGGAAAAGTTCTAAAATTAGTAAGTGATGCTGGTTGTACAACTCTGTAAATACACTAAAATTGGTAAGTTGTATACTTAAAACAGGTGAATTTTATGGTATGTAAATTGTACCTCAATAAAGCTGTTAATAAAGAAAACATTCTAGTCGGGGAGGGTGGGAAGTGAGTGGGGTCTGGATGAGCTAGACTGGCCAGGGGTTGAGTTTTGGTTGAAGCGGGATGATTGACATATGGGAGTTCATTATGCTATTCTTTCTCTTTGGGTATATGTTTGAAATTTTATGTAATAAATACTTGTTGAGAATTAGCATTTCATGGCATTTGTCCCAACACCCAAAAAGAGCTCTTTTCAGAGTTCCCAGGCAAAGCAGAGAGCCACAAACAGGTCAGTGCATGACTGACTTGGAGGCCTCAGTCCCCAACGGCCTCTCTCAAATGGGCAAAGCACTTCCCTGGAACTCGTTCTTCCTGCCCCCAGATCACACCTGTCCTGAGGTGTTGAATGGACAATGGATGGGTTAGAGGTTCAGGAGTTTTAGGGTCCTGGGTCTTCAGTGGAAGACGCTCAAGAGGCTCTACTATCAGACCTTTCCTGAGACCTCATCCCGAGGGCCCTCACTCACCGGTCACGCCCACGGTGGACACGGGGCCCACACGCCG